TGAAGGAGATGAAGCTAGCACAATGTTGGGCAAGCAACCAGACCTAATTTCTCCTAATTCATCCTAAAAGGTCATCTCACCCTGTGTGGAAAGAGCTCCAGGGCAAGGAGGAGTGGGAGCAGCTGTAAAGATGTCCTCTGCCACCAAACAGTCCCCCTGAGGCATTCCCAAAAAGTTACAGCCCTCAGAGCATGGGGTCTGACTTCCAGAACTGAGAGAGATGTGGGACCCCGGATGATGCTCGGGGGTCCTCCCCACGCTGCCAGCGCTCACCAGGGACTTGGAAGGAGCCAGCAGCTCTCAAGCCTTCAACCCCATCTTGGCACTGAAATAAATGTGCGGGAGGAGGAGACCTTGACCTCTCTCTCTTCTCTGTAAATGTATTTTAAACTCGAGTGTGCTGGAAGCTGTTGGGAGCCCTCCCTTATTAACCTTCCATCCTCCTCTGTCTGGCTCCCCTGCCACCGCTCCATCCTTTCACCCCTGTTTTCCCTTGCTCGCCTGCGTGATGTGAGACCGTGAGACTCAGCCCTTCTCCTCCAGCCTGGCTGAGCGTGGGGAACAAGCAAAGTGGAAATTAAGACCGTCTGTACAGCTCCCTTACTCCAATTAGCTCAATATTTAGAGCCTCATCAAGAATGCTGCTGCCTCCAAGGATGTCTCCAAGTTGAAAGCTGCTAACAAGGCTGGGAAGTCCCCAGTGAGAGGCCTGGGCGTGGTGGGATGGGGTGACAGCCACCTTTTGTCTTCTTGGGCAAAGTGATGGGTGTCAGTGTCACAAATTCCCCGTGGTACCCAGGGGATTTGCCTTCACCCCACAGGGGATGTGCTCCAGATGCAGAAGAGGACCCCATCACCTGCTTCCCTCCAAAACGGCTCCTGAGCCAAAAAAGCCATTGCGTCCTGCGGCGGGGGAGGCTGTGCAGCTGCACAAACCAAAACCTCACCCGGGACCCCCCCCAAACTGCCGCAGCCCCTGCTCCTGGCAGGCAGGGCTGCCCCCAGGAAGGGGGGGAGCTGCCCCCAAGCAGGGCAGGCAGCTGCCAGTGGGAGAGACCCCGGCCGGGGGAAAAACCGCCCGCCGCCTTCCCACGCTCGCTTCAGCTGACATCGAGTAGAAATCAAAGAGTTTTCCAGGAAACCTCCTCGGGCTCTTGAAGAAACCAGGGACAACTGCTAGTGAGACCCTAAAATGGTGACGAGACCCTCTGCAGACCCCACGGCTGCTTCTCGGCATCCCCCCACGAAAGCATCCGTGGGGACACCGGTCTGGCAGGCATTTCTCATTCTCCACTTGGGCTTCATCTGGATAATTTGGGGGTTGCTAGATGATCTGAGGAGGGGAGGGGGATTTTCTCGTCACTGCATAATCAGCCAGTCCTACTCCAAAGCCTGCTCAGGTACTAGGAGCAAACCCGAGGCTGTTTTGGAAGGATGCTGTGTTTAAAAACTCGGTAGCTGTGATGTTTGTGGGCAGTGGATGACCTTTAAGTCTCACCTCTCCTTGTCGCCAGGACATCTGCTAAAGCCTACTGGCTCTACAGACGCTAGAGAACAAATTTATGGGGGAGCAAATCAAAAGAGGAAAAAGGAATAAATGCAAGATGCTCCCTGGACCAGTCTGCCACGGGAAGAGGAGATGGTTGGTGACCTGTCTCCCTGGTCACATCTTTGCCATGTCTGGGAGCTGGGTACCCCAGAACCACCCCCCACCCACTCTTCCCCATCACTTGGACCCCTGGCCTGCATCACCCTGGGTACTGCCCTCCTAAAAGGGGTTAGCTCCCCCTGAGGGGCTTAATTAGCACTAGGACAAATTGGGGAGCACGAGCTGGGACAAGAACCCCCCCTTTTTGTGGCACGGGAGAAGTGTCATGGCTGGGGAACAGCGGATGCCTTGAACTCACAACGCTGCCTGGAGGCGGGAGCTTGGTGCCCAGGCTCCCACCCTGAGCCCCCTCGTCCCTGTGCCTGCGAGGGGCCAGCCCCGGGAGTGGGTGCCCCACCTCGGGGGTGGCATTTGGGGACCCGTCTCGGGAGGCGGTGCGCCGGAGGCAGCGGCAATCTGAAGCCAGCAGGTTTCCTGAGCGCCAGGAGGGAGCCCGAGCACGGCAAACCACAGATCGAATCGCCCAAGCGATGAACCCGAAGATAGACGCCATCGCTGCCGAGGCTGAGAAGCCTCAAAAAGAAAACTGAAAACCACACGGCCAAAATTTGAGTAATTCAGTCAAACCCTCACCTCCCCAGGCTCACATCAACCCCACAGGGCTGCCTGCGCCTCTCCCCATCAGCCAGGGTCCCCCCGGTGCTCCCCCACCACAGAAGATGCTGGTGGCTGGAGGGGCAAAGAGTTTCAGCCATGCCCTGGGTGCACCAGAGCTGGGAATCACCACCCAGCTTTCCCCAAAGGCCGTTTTCTCAAGTGCTTATGTCTTAAAAAAAAAAATAAAAATAGTGGTTTCTTTTGAGGCTAGTGTCTACCACACTCATGGTGCTGGCAGGTTTGATGCCTCAGCAAGGATCAGGTTTGTCGCGACTCAGCCAATTTCAGTTGGTAATGAAGAGATGAATCATGCAGGAAGTCAGAGAGAAGGAAATTCACAGCAAAAAGAAGAAAATAGAGCAGGTATTTGCTTAGAGCACAGGTAGAACCGCCCCCCTCTCTGCTCTAGAGAAATGTAAGACTGAGTTATTTCAAGAGGGAGGTATTATGGGAAATAATGTGCGTTTTACAATAAGTCATCATAAAACCAAAACATCCTCTAGAAATTAGAGTTAGACTGCCGTGAAAACCTCGTGCCACACATCACAGCATTTAAAACAGCATTTAGGAAGAGAAGGACAACTACAGATTAAAATTAAAAAAAAAAATAATAAAAAAAAAAAGCCCCATCATATCAAAAATCAGGGAGAAGATTTCAGTGAATTTAGTTTTAAGAGTTCAGCTGAATGACTGGTAACAGAGATGTGTCCAAATATGGGTGAGGAAGGGTGCTTTTGGCATAAAGTTAAACAAATGTATTAACCAGCCCGAGCTTAAAGGGATTATCTGCCACGTCGAGTGAATTGCAATTCTGTCCAGCAAGGTAAAAATTAACACCGATATTTTTTTAATGACCATAACTCCAAATAATAAGCTTTACTATCCTCCCATTTGCTCATATTAATAACTATTATATATGTACAATATATATAATATAATAATTAAATATATAATAATTATTATACAATTGCATTACAATTTGACCAAAGAAAATATTAGGGCAGCACATGATCGATGAACTCCAGGAAAAGCAATCACGTGTAAACATCAGGGCTAAGGGACTGGAAATTCAGAGCCGGCTCCTCCCAGCTACTTATTTTCTTTGCAGGAATCAACTGCTGCTGCCACAAAACTGCTATAAATTAAATAAAGCCTTAAGGGAAAAATAATGGTTGTGAGGCCAAGGAGAGGAGAATTCAAACACTGGCTTCTCGGTCTTTGTTTAATGAGGTCCTTAATCACCTGTATTAATAACTAGGCACATTCCGAAGCCCTGTGCTGATCTGGGGCCAAAAAGAGACTGAGTGGCTTCATATATCTCGGTGAGCTGGGGCTGGAGCAGATCCCTTCCAGAAATAACCCATAGAGCCTCCTCCTCATCAATAATCATTGCGTTGCCTTTACATTTAGTAAATGTAAAGTTCATTTGTTTGGGAAACCTCCGAGGAAACCATTTCCCTGTTCTTTCTCCTGCCATCTGAAGACGCTTGGAGGTTTTGGTTTCCAGCAAAACCGTGCTCACGTGACGGTGTTCTGAGGCACCTCCACGCTGTGCAAGGAGCAACTTGGCCTATATTGGAAAAAAAAGGCTAGTGGAAAAACAGAAATCTTGATTTCTCACCTAGAAAATCTTATGTCTCTCTCCCAGCGGGAGCTGAGCCTCTGCCACCACTTCACTCTGTGGCCTTGGGCAACTCACTTAATCTCACAGCATCTGTGTCACTGGGTTAATTATATTTACGGGCATTTTGCGGGGGTTAATAATTAGTTGGGGAATGTTTGCGTGGACCTTTTCAGACGGGATGCCTCGGATAAACGCTGAATGTTAATGCTGGAAAATAAACTCGAGGCTCGAACCCCTTGTGCTGGGTGGGGGTTTAAATACAGAAGAGTCTTTTCTTTGGGGTGAGGGTGTGACCATGGGGGGGGGGGGGGGGCCTACAAAACCATCCCCAGCCCACCCCAGACTGTCAAGTGGATCCCTCTGTCCCCTCATACAAGATGGGAAAGCGGTTGTGTGCGGATGGACAGACTCCTGTCCGGCCAGACCCGGGCCCCACGGTTGTGTCCAGGCCTGCATCCAGCCCCCCCAATCCCGGGGGGGCCCAGGTGTGTGTGGGGGCATCTCTACACCAGGGCTCCTCTGCAAGGGGGGGTCTCCCTGTAACAGGGGGGCTCCCTGCATTGCCTGCAATGGGGCTCCCCTTAATGGGGGGTTCTCCCTAATGAGGACTGTCTGAAACAGGGGCTCCCCTTAATGGGGGGTTCTTTCTAATGGGGACTGCCTGCAACTGGGGTTCCCCTTAATGGGGGGCCCTCTCTAATGGGGACTGCCTGAAACAGGGGCTCCCCTTAATGGTGCTTCCCCCCAGTATAGGCTCCCCATATGGCTACTCCTCCATAAGAGGGTGGGGGGAGGATGTTGCAACGGGGATCCTTCCATAACAGGGACTCCCCGGTGCGGGGATCCCCAGTAACGGAGTTGGGGGGGTGGGGTGGGTGTTACCCTGTACCGAGGGTCCCCGCTCGGAGCGGGCAGAGCCCCGACCAGCTCAGCGCACATGTGGCGGGCTGGGCTGTCCCATCCCATCCCATCCCGTCCCGTCCCGTCCCGTCCCGTCCCGTCCCGTCCCGTCCCCTCCTCCGGCCGGCCCACACGCAACACCCAACCCTCCTCCTCCTCCTCCTCCTCCTTCTCCTCCTCCTCCTCCTCCTCCTCCCACTTCCTCCGCACAATGCAGGCTGCCGGCCGAGCGGGGCAGCGGCAGCCGGCGCCCCCATCCCGCCGCCGAGCCCCCCGCCCGGCCCCGTAGAGATGCTCCGGGGGGAGGCACCCGCAGGTGAGTGGCGGGGCCCGATCCGGTCCCCGCTGCGCGGTGGCCTTGGGGGGAGGACACCGGGGACGTGGCGGAGCCGGAGGGACTGGGGTGTGGGTGTGTGTGTATGTGTAGTTTTGGGGGGGTGGGGGGGGCTGCGGGGAGCTCTGGTCGCACCGTTCCCTGAGCCCCCCTCGGAGGGCAGGGCTCCCGGGCACTGCGGGAGGGGGGATCCGTCTGTCTGTCCGTCTGTCCCGTCCTCCCCCCCCACACACACTTTCCTGTCCCCTGTATTAACGTCTTCCCGCTGCTCACTCGCGGTTGGGCGATGCCGGGCACGAAGGGGCTGCAGGCTCCGGTTCTGGGGGATTTTACCCACTTATGGAGACTTTAGTTCAGGGGGTTGATGCACAACGGGGCCGTGGGGGCAAACACGCGTGGTCGGCCTCCCCTGCGAGAGCGTGGACCTGCCGAGGGTTATCGGAGGGGTCGCGGTGGTGTGTGTGTGCGTGCGTGCGTGTGTGTGTGTGTCCCAATACACAAATGCCGTGGCTGTGGACGCGCGGCAGGGACAGAAGGACGGACGGCGGCCACCCAGCCCTCGTGGGCCTCGTGGGCGGGCAGCAGCGCGCGATGCCCCGGCGCTGCGAGCTCGGGGGTCCCTGCGTGACCGTGGCCGACCCGGGGCGTTGACGCTGCTGGGTCGGAGTCGGGTCGATGTGCCTGTACCTGCGTGTCGGAGGGGGTTCAAGCAGCTATTCGGGTGGCATGCTGGAGGCTCTGCCCTTCTGGTGGCTGCTATGTGCTTAATTAAGTTTGTTGGGGTTTTTTGTGTTTTTTGGGGTTTTTTTGTTTGTTTTTTATAAAAGTGAATACTGCTGGAGTTTTTTTCAGGAATAACAACATAATTTGCAATACAAGCAATGGCTTGCTGCTTGTGTTTGGGGAGGATAATGCCTTAAAAAGCAGCTGGCTTGGTCTGAGTGAAAGCTCCGGCTGGGCTTTCGCCTACCTGGAAAAGCTCGGGAGCTGCAAACTTTTTTGAAAAGGGATAAGGCATGAAATGAGAGATCTGGGACCGCTGGGGCCTCTTGTTTGCTCCCCCCAAATGACCTCAACGGGGGGGAAGCCTTGCCAGCGATCTCATCCAAACCCACCGGAGAGATGGGAAAGGTGACCTCCTCGGCAGGGACCCAAAGTCCCTGCGATTGTGAAACCGGTATTGCAGCTGGACGGGAAACCACCTTCTTACTGGGGAAGAAGTCCGCTCGCTTTGGGGTAACATGGAGGGAAGCCCCCTCCGTTAGCAGCCCCCCACCCCAGGACCCCAGTGGGGTGTCTCGGGGAAAGGTTGCGGGATGGCTGGGGATGCCCGATGCCAGCGGGCTTAGGAGATTTGGGGTTTTGTTTCTTGATTCCTGTGGGCTGGCTGGGAGTTGGCGGCTGTTTCTTCACATCACGTGGCGATGGAGGAGGCGGGAGGCTGCGATGAGAGGCTCCCGCTTATTACTGCTGCGTTAGGGCATCACAGCCCGGGGAGGAAATGCCGGGGAGCCGTGTGCTGTGCCTGACTGCCCCGGCAATAACAGACATGGCTGCGCTTGTTCGGAGCTGTCGGAGCAAAAAGAGATGTTTGAGCCATCCCTGGCCACCTCAGCAGGCCAAGGAGCCCCGGTGGAGGGGGCACAGAAGCCCACCCGTGCCTTTTCGACATCCAAAACTGTGGCAGATAAAGCTGGCTGTGGCCCATGAGCGCTTATATGGGAGGTTTCGCCTGCACGCAGTGGGGTGGCACGTGCTCCATTTCATTCGGTTTTACTTTTCTCCCTCCTGGCCAAACAGCTCTTTCTGGGAAAAATCCCTGCAAAGAAGAGGGAGGGGGGAAAAAAACCCTAAAATTAAAAAAAAAAAAAAAAAAAAAAAAAAAAAAAAAAAAAAGAGGAATAAATCCGTTGTGTTTAATCCACCCACTCCTTTCCCCAGCTGTGAGGTTTCAGTATCGCAGGCGCTGGCCACATGTGTTAGCGTTTGCCCAGGCGTCCCCCCCCCCGGCCCCAATTCCCACGTGCCCCTCTCCTCCCCGCAGACCCCAGCCCTGGGAGCTCTCCCCGGGGCTGTGGGGAAGGAAGGAGGGCATCGCCGCGCCGGCTGCAAGGGGATAGTCCCTGAGGGGAAGGGCTGATGGTGACAGCAGAACCAGAGCTGTTTTCTTGGGTCTGAAATGGCGCAGGTGGAGGGACAGCGCCGGCTGGGGCGAAGCCCCAGTGTATTTCATAGAAAGAAGGAGCCCATTAGCGCACTCACCCTAATGAGGTTAATGAGCTCAACCCCTATCAGACATCAGAGAATCCACGTGCCTGGCTCTGGCTGCTGCTGTGGGATGGCTTGGTCTCTTCTGCATCGCTCCAGCAAGGCTGGAGGTCGGAGCTGGCCGCCCGCTTTCCCACTGAATCGGTGGGAAGGGGTCGGGGGGTTCCCGCAGGGAAAGGTCTCCTCGTCACGGGGTTACGGGGCCTTTTCCTTCCTCCCTCGCGAAAGAGGGGTCCCCGCTGCTGCGCTCGCAGGCGATTTGGAAACGGGGTGACAGTGTCGGCCCTGCCGATGTGCCCAGTGGGGTAACCCCAGTCCCGCGGTGACGCTGGGGCCGGTGGTGCAACGTCCCCGACGCCACAGGTTTTGTGCATTGGTGCCTTTCGGGGAAAGGGGAAAAAGCAGCGGGGAAATGTTGGAAGTCACAAGATTTCTGTCCTGGCTTGTCCACCCCGAGCATCGTCACCACGTGGAAGGGATCCCAAGCCTGCATCTCCCTCCCACGCAGCATCTCCCGGAGAGACGGATTTAACCACCACCCTCCCGAGAGATCCCTCTCGGGCCGCTGGTGGGTGGGGAGAGCAATGGGCTGGAAAGGAAAATAACCCAGTTTGGGACACCCCACCCGCCCAGCTGAGCCCCCTCCCGCTTCACATCCTCCCAATCAGGGTGTAAGGAAAGCCTGTGGCTCGTTTTATTTTTTTTTGGGGGGGGGGAAAGCAGCTGACTTCTCCTCCTGGGCACCAGCCCCCCAAAATATCTCAGCCAGCGTGTGGTGATGGAGGAGCCTGCAGCAACACCCCCAGGCTGGGACAAGGAGGGACTGTGCTGGACAATCCCCGCCTCAGGCCAGGGTCTCGTGTGGAAAGCCGAGGTTTGGGGGTTTTTTGGGTGGTTTTCTTCAATCTTTTTCAATTTGAGGGGAGCGTTTTCCTTGGATCGAAGTGATGGCAAACCTAATTGGTGCTGGAGGTCTTGGAAATTACCCTGAGGCTCCTGAGGATAAAGCTGTTGGAAGTCAGGCAGTCGCCCCACTACCCCTTATCTTTGGGGAGCTGCTTCTGAGGGTGCAGGCGGGGAGCTGAGCTTCCTTCTCGACCTGCAGGGAAGCATCGACCCTCCAAGGAGGATTTCAGAGGAGTCCAGGGAAACAGCATCCTCCCTGGAAAGGGAGAAATTGTTGACATTTGGAAGAGAAACCCAACCCGAAGGAACGGCAGAGGGGGTGCAGCCCTGCTGGGTCGTGCCAGAGCTGCTTTTTTGGGGAAAATGGCTGGGTTTGAGCCGGGGCTGGGAGAGGTAGGGCTGCGTGGGGCTCTCTCCTGGTCCCCCCCTGAGCTTCAGCTGGGCAGGGGCACCCGTGCTCACAGCTGGGTGGCCGGGGAGCCTGTGACCCCTCTTTCTGCTTGCCAGGGGTTTGCCAGAGCGGGCTGTGTGCGGCGCTGCAGAGCAGAGCCACCACGCTCGGGTCCCTTATCTGCCCTCACAAGTCTCTCCAGCTGCCTGCTCCATTTCCCCTTCTGTGGACAAGGCTTTTATCTTATCTCCATGCTTTCTTCCTCCATTTCCTTCTTCGCTTCTCTGCTAACTCTTGCCACAAAAAGAAAAAAAAAAAAAAAAACAAAACCAAAAAAACAAAAAACACAGCAGGGTGAAGAACAGACACGAGATCCTACTGCAGTAAGTCCATCTTGCAGGATGGCAGGCCATGCTGGGAGATGCTGGGTGACGTTTGGCTGTGCTGGGACATGCTAGGTGACATTTGGTCATGCTGGAAGATGCTGGGTGACATTTGGCTGCACTGGGAGATGCTGGGTGACGTTTGGCTCTGCTGGGAGATGCTGGGTGACATTTGGTCATGCTGGGAGATGCTGGGTGACATTTGGCTGCATTGGGAGATGCTGGGTGATGTTTGGCTCTGCTGGGAGATGCTGGGTGACATTTGGCCCTGCTGGGAGGATGCTGGGTGACGTTTGGCTCTGCTGGGAGATGCTGGGTGACGTTTGGCCCTGCTGGGAGATGCTGGGTGACAGTTTGGCTCTGCTGGGAGATGCTGGGTGACGTTTGGCTCTGCTGGGAGATGCTGGGTGACGTTTGGCTCTGCTGGGAGGATGCTGGGTGATGTTTGGCTCTGCTGGGAGATGCTGGGTGACATTTGGCCTGTGCTGGGAGGATGCTGGGTGATGTTTGGCTCTGCTGGGAGATGCTGGGTGACATTTGGCTCTGCTGGGAGATGCTGGGTGACAGTTTGGCTCTGCTGGGAGATGCTGGGTGACAGTTTGGCTCTGCTGGGAGATGCTGGGTGACGTTTGGCTGTGCTGGGACATGCTGGGTGACATTTGGTCGTGCTGGAAGACGCTGGGTGACATTTGGCTGCACTGGGAGATGCTGGGTGACGTTTGGCTCTGCTGGGAGATGCTGGGTGACATTTGGCTGTGCTGGGAGGATGCTGGGTGATGTTTGGTCGTGCTGAGAGGATGCTGAGCCATGATCCAGTGAGGCTCAGACCGGTCTTGGGGCTCTCTTGGGCGATGTACGTGGTGCCAGATGATGCTGTGGGGACACCAGGTGAAGGTCTGGTGATGCTCTTGGGGCTGAAGCAATGCTCAGGCGTCTCAGTGCGATGCTCAGGAGATGCTGGGCAGTACTGGGGGGATGCCAGGAGATACTGGGGGGTTACTGGTGGTGCTCAGGGGATGCGGGCGATGCTGGGAAGGCCAGGCGATGCTGGGATGGTCTGCCAGCTCCACCTGCTGGCATGCACCGCCTGACACTGTGGGCCAGCACCCCAGGCCCCGCCGCAGCAGCAGCCCCAAATCAGAAGAGACCATAAGGGTGAGGGTCCCCCTGAGCTGCAGGCTGCTGTGTTGGGGGAAAAAAGCATCAGATGAGCTCAGAAGGTGAAAGTGGGAAGAGGAACTTTGGGCGCTCTGTGTGTGTGCCTCGCCACAGGCTGCTGGCTCTTCACCTGAGCTGACCCGGCTTTGGTCCCCGCTGCCTGCAACAGACGCTCACTGAGGCTTTGAAACCAAGGCGGCGAGAGCTTTTCAGGGCTTTTCCAAGGAGACGGATGGAGAAATGCTCATCCAGCCGCCCAGGATCCACCCCCCAGCCAGCTTCGGGCTCCCACCCTGGCTCATGCCCTGGCCAGCACCAAGGGAGGGGAGCGCCTGGCTGGATCCCTAGCTTCCACGCTGAGCATCAGATGTTGTTTCTCAATTGGGGTGGGTTGATTTTTTTTTTTTTGTGTTAGGATCTCTGCCAGCTGCTGGGAGGATGGGAAAAGGAAGCAAGTCCCTGTTGCCCTTGGCAGAGGCTGACTGTGAGACGAGCAGGGCTTTCCACGGCTCTCCTCCTCTTCTTTAGCCTCCCAGTGTGATGTTGAGCATCACAAATGAGTAAGTGTCCTCGTTTCGGCTGGGATACAGTTAATTTTCTTCCTAGCAGCTGGTACAGCGCTCTGTTTTGGATTTAGCATGAGAATAATGTTGAGAGCACACTGATGTTTTAGCTGTTGCTAAGTAGTGCTCATCATAAGTCAAGGACTTTTCAGTTTCCTGTGCTCTGCCAGCGAGGGGGTGAACAAGAGCTGGGAGGGACCGTGGCCAGGAGAGCTGACCCCAACTAGCCAAAGGGCTATTCCATACCGTAGGATGTCATGCTCAGTACAGAAACTGAGGGGAGTTGGCTGGGAGGGGGATCACTGCCTGGGGACTGGCTGGGCATCGCTCAGCGGGTGGTGAGTAATTGCACTGTGCATCACTTGCCCTGCTTGAGTTTCTTTTCTCTCCCTTTTCATTGCAATTATTATTATTTATTTATTTAAATTATTAAACTGAGGTTCAACCACGACAATAAGGAACAGCTGTATGTGAAAACCAACATGCTTTCTCCAGCCAGTGCTGTGAGCACTGGTGACTTCTGGGGGGGTCTCGGTAGACCCTGCCACCCCTGTGCCATCCCACCGCGGTCTGAGTGTTTGCCACGGGGACTTGCTTTGCTCATGATTTGTTTTCTCTCTCTCTCCCGTTCAGGAAGGCCAGCTCAGCTCTCCCGTTGCACACCCCGGTCGGGACGTATAGATGGCCTCGAAACGGCACTTGGAGTCTCTGGACCCCGTGATTTTCAACAAGCTACCTCGGTTGGAGACAGAGCCCTGCTGCCGGCTTCCCCTCTGGCCTCTGCAAATCCAGCCCCGTGTCCAACCCTGGCTCCGAAAACCATTTCAACTACAAGGGCTCCTACTTTGCCTGCCCGCTCCAGAGCCCCGACTGGCCCCGAGCAGCCCCTGGCACGCTGGAGCCCGGCGGCCGCTTACCCGCACTACGGCACCGGTGCCGGCAGCCAGCCCGTGCCAGGGCGAGGGGCCGCTGGCGAGCTGCCTGCTGTACCCACCCGAGAGCCTGGGGCCCGGGCTGCAGCCCCTGGGCGCCGAAAAGGGCAAGGACAGCCTGATGCGGGAGCTGCTGATGGCGAGGGAGAAGTGGACCAGCCCGCCGCCGGCTCCGGGACACCCCTTCCCGGTGAAGAAGCCGGTGGCGGTGAACAAGGCGGCCCCCCTGGCTGTCCCCAAGCCGGTGTACAGAGCCCCGGTGTGCTTTTTGGACCCCAGGATGGCTCTGCCGCTGGGACCCCGGGCGGAGAGCCTGCAGCAGAGGCCGGGGGATGCGGACTGGGCTCTGCCTGCCGCCACCCCCGCCAGCCACCCTCTCCACCCCGGTGAGCCCCACGGCGGCACCCGGCTGCACAAGGAGGGGTCCCCACTGCCGACCCCAGCCTCCCGCCTCTGCACCCCGGCCTGGCGCTGCCCGCCAAGGAGAAGGTGGGCTCCCCCATTGCCTTCTCCCCCTACTATGTCGCCTTTGAGAAATACAGGGGCCCCCCTGGCACCCCTTTCCTGGAAGCCAGCTGCCCCGCCGCCCACAGCCAGAGGAAGGTCCCCGAGGTCCCCAGCCTCAGCCCGGACCCCTGGCCCAAGCTCCAGCCGCCCGCCGCCAGCCCGGCGTACCGGGAGAGGCCGGCGGTGTGCTACCCGCACACCCACTACCCGCTGCCCCTCCATAAAGCTGCCCTCCTCTACCCCCCGCCAGCTCCCACCGTGGAGGCACAGCCCAGCGCCCTGCCCGGCGCCTACAAAGGCTTCGGCTTCGCGGGAAGCGAGGAGCCCTTTCCCAGCTCTTACCTTAAGCCCCAAGCCCCAAGGACCTACTTTCCCAGTCCCTTGGACACCTACGTGCCGAGGGCAGCCGGCGCCGGCGCCGTGGCATCACCACCCGCCAAGTCGGCGGCACTGCCGAGGGATGCCGAGCCGCCGCGGCGAGCCGGCTGCTTGCCGAGCCCCGGTTTTGCCTTCATCCCCAGCGACGCGGCCGTATTCGGCACCTCCTTCGCCGGCACGAAGCCCGGCTACGAGCGGCACCAGGCGGAAAGTCCCCGGCAGGCGAGCGGCGGCGAGGCCCAACAGCGCTTTCCAACCCGTCTGCGCCCCAGAGAAGGTGCCCGGGGGCTCCGGTGGGCTGGCAGAGACTTTTCTCAAAGAAGAAGGGGGCTGGGTGAAACCCAGCCATGGGGAGCAGCAGCCCCCGTACCCGGGGAGGAGAACGGCCTAGCTCGGCCCCTCAGGAGACCCCCCATGGGGGACCACCGTCTCCCGTCATCGTAGGGAAGGGAGATGACTGTAAGGTCAAGGACGAAGCAAAAGAGCCTATCCCCTCTTCTCCGCCTGCCTCCCCCCCAGAGAGCCTGAAAGACCGGAGGGATGGCAAGGTTTCCCCTTCCTCCCCACCCATGCCAGTGATCAACAATGTCTTCAGCCTGGCACCTTACCGAGCCTACCTGGAGGGGACCGAGGGCTCAGCCCAGGTCCCCTTCTGCAGGGAGCATCCGCGGGGGGACACCCCACCCCAAAACAGGGGGGGCAGCCAGGAGCCCGCTGCCCTCGGAGACATCTCGGAGATGTCCAGCCTGCTGCCGGTGGGGACGGCAGCCGGCCAGGCGCTGAAGATGGGCAGCGTTGCCGTCCAGAGCCAAGGGGAAAGCTGTTACAGAAGGGTCCCCAAAAAGCCAAAGCTTGTGCCCCGCGACTCAGGGTCTCGGCAGAGCAGCCCTGGTGGGGTGGGGAATGGGGAGCCGGCCCCCGAGGACACGGTGCTGGACCTCAGCTTGAAGAAGAGACTGGTGAAAGCCAGGGAGACGCAGGGACCCGTCGGCCGACCGGACAGGGAGGATGTGGAGGAGGAGAAAGAGGGGCCAGAGGGGAAGGTGGGGGTGGGAGAAGGGGCCAAGCCCCAGGCACTGCCCTTGCTGCTCGAGGTGGGCTCTGGGGACAAGAGCAACTTCCAAAGCTCAGCCACCTTCATGTTCAAAAAATACAAAATCCTGCGCTCCCTCCCGCCCAGCACCGTGCCCCCCCGGCAAGCCGGCAGCCCCCGCACCCCCCAGCCCAGCCCGCCACCACCGGCCCCCTCCAGCAGCATCCCCACCCCTCCGCCACGGACCCCCCCTGCCCCCCTGCCCGCCAGCAGCCCCCCAGCCCCCCAGCCTGGTCCCCAGCCCAGCACCTCCTCCCTGCGGGGGGCTCACCCGGCCCGGCTGCAGCCCCCGCTGCCCGAAGCCCCCGGCACACCGGGAGAGGAGAGCGTCTCGCTGCCGGGGCTGTGCGAGGCCCCTGGCCCGCAGACCTCCGCCGGGCAGTATTTCACCACCCTGCACACCTGGCTCTGCGACGTTATTTCGTGCTCGGTGTCCAGGTCCTCCCCGGAGCTCCTGCAGGAGTGGTTGAAGAAGGCAGAGCCGGCGGAGGAGCTCGGAGAGGTGCCCAGATCCCCGCCCAAGCCCAAGAACGGCTCCAGAATCCCCGAACCTCAGAAGCCCACCAAAGGCAAGGAGATCTGGCTGGCTTTCCAGGACGTGGCCGCCCTCCTCACCAACCTGCTCTCTCAGCTCGAGACCTTCATGTTCGCTCGCAAGTGTCCTTTCCCCCACGTAGTCCGGGCAGGGGCCGTCTTCATCCCCATCCACGTGGTGAAGGAGAAGCTCTTCCCCAAGCTCCCCGGGGCCTCGGTTGACCAAGTGCTGCAGGAGCACAAGGTGGAGCTGCGTCCCACCACGCTCTCCGAGGAGCGGCACTTGAGGGACCTGGAGCTGAAGAGCTGCAGCTCACGCATGCTGAAACTCCTGGCGCTCAAGCAGCTCCCCGACATCTACCCGGACCTGCTGAACCTCCACTGGCACGACTCCATCAGGCAGCAGCTCGGTAGGTAGCCCGGAATCTCCCGTGGAGGGCCGGCGACACCAGTGGGTCCCTGGGACTCTTCCAGGGAAGCTCCAGCTGCATCTGCCCCTCGGATCCTGCTGTTCGGTGGGAGCACCCATCGCTTGCAAGGTCCCTCAGCATCCTTGTCCAGAAATCTTGAGCTGGGAGGTGGCGGTGGAGCAGGGTGGGGGGTTGTCCCTGCCTGCCTGGGTGAGAAAAGTCATCCTGGGGGTTATCAAGGAGGGGTCTGTCACCCCCAGGCCACTTCTCCCCCCTCCAAGGGCGGCGGGGCCGGGCGGCTCGGGAACGCGCTGGGAGCGGGGCAGCACGCGTGCCCGACCTGCCACCCACGGCTGTCCCATCCCACCGGTGACAGTCCCACCACCCCTCCCTGCCCAGACGCTCTTGTGCTGCTGCTCGAGGCCATCGCCAACAACTTTATTTCTTACAGGCTCAAGCTCGCAGGCTGCCCAGCATCCCTCCAAGTAGGTAATTCTTCTGCGTGGTTTATACATATTTATAGGATTTATACGCCGCTTGGTGAAGGCGCGTGCGTATTTGTGCGTATTTGCCATGATGACAGGGAGCTTGGGCTGGCTGGGGAGGAGCACACGAGTGGCTCTGCTGCCTGGGCTGGGCTGGAGGGGGGGATTTGTGGCTGGGGGGGGGCAGGGATTATTTGGGATGGGGAGGTGAAAACCTTGCCGTCCCTAACCACCCTTTCCTCTCGCAGGTAACCCTGGCATGGAGGCGCTGAAAGCTGATGGCAAAGCAACAGCCATGGACAGCACGAAGGAAACGGAGGCGCTAAGGAATGTGTCCCGGGCCACCCGCCCGCGGGGAGGGGAAAGGGAAGGTCCCCCTCGTCCCCAGAGCGGGGTCCCCTCCGACCTGCGGGGAGATGCTCGGCTCCCACCGCCTGCTCCACCCGAGGACGGGGACAGGTCCTGCTGGGATGCTGGTGCCTGGAGGCCACGGGCACCGCAGGGATCCTCCGAGAACGACGCTCTTGGGGTGGAGAACAGCAGCGGGGACGCTGCAGGGATGGTCGGCGTACCCGGGCCCACGGCGACGGGCTCGAGCCCCCCACGGCAGCTGGAGCTGCATTTCTTTTAATACATCATCTTCTAGTGCATCTCCTACCTCCGGCCAGGCTGCAGCCAGTGAACTGGGATGGCATGGCTGGAATTCCAGTGGAGCTGGAGGGCTGGAGCAGCGTTTGTACTCGCAAGAGGAGCATGGAAATGGCCACACCGCCGTCCCCCGCCTTGGGGAAAGGCTGGCTGCTGCAGGGATGGTTTACCACGTCCCCTCCTCTCTCCTCTAACTCACCTCTCCTGCTTTATACACGCCGTTCCCAATAAACGTACCTTCCTCCTGGTTTTTAATCTTCAAAGTGCTACAGAGACTTAACACAACATTAAGGGCCAAGGGAATCACGACTTCTGTAGTTACAGGATTGACTTTTTTGTTGTCTTAAATGAAGACATTTTAAAAATGTTACAAATTCACCTTTATAAGGAGCTGCTGCCTTCAGGTTATGTGGGTTGGTTTTGTTTTGTTTTGCGTTTTTTGTGGTTTGGTTTTTTGTTTTTTTTAATAGTAATTTATACCTTTTTTTTTATTTAAACTCACGTCTTCACCTGTTTACTGTGCTGGACCGAGGCAGTGGGAGCAATGCTGTTCAGGCTGAGAGCTTCAGTCCTGACTGTAGCTGAAAAAGGCTGCCAGGAAGGTTTAAAGGCCGTTCAAGAAAACCAAACCAATTTCCAAGCCAGATCCCAGCCGTCCCAAAGGAGAACGTGGGAGATGCACGTTTGGGGGGACAACCTTGATGGAGACCTGGCGACCCTGGTGTGACCAGAGGGGCAGGAGAGGGGAGCGATGCTGCGAGACCTTGGAAGGAGAGATCCTTTCCATCCTGCGGGCACCAAGAGGTTGACGGGCATCCCAGGGGGGGATCCCGGCAGCTGAGGACGGACAGACTCCCCCTCGCCCGATCCGCAGCAGAGGCCTTACAAACTCAACGCTCAGGGGTTTTTCCAGCGGATGCAGGGCATGGAGGAACAAAACGAGGATTACTATTGTTATTATTTTTTATTTCACTACAGGAGATATTTATTTTAAACTAAAAAACTAAGAAAACAGAGGGAAAAACAAACAAACAAAAAATACAAACCTACCCAAGCCGTACCATAGACTCTTGGCCGAAAGGTGTGTTTGCCGGCCTGGGGAGGCAGCAGCTGCTGCCGCCGTGTTTTCTGTGGGTGCCTTTCTGGTTTTCCACTGGGATGTACTGGGGGATGGGGCAGGGGGGATGCTACTGTTCTCCTCGCTCTTCCTTGCCGTGCCGTGTCTGTGCATAGCGCTGTAAAGCCGTTCGGAAAGCAGTGTTTGTTAATAATATTGCAATTTATATATATATATATATGTGTGTGTGTATATATACATATATATATATATATATATAAGGTTCCAGGGAAGAAAGTTCCTTCATCTTATTTAATATTTTGTAAGAATATGAATTTTAAGAGGTGCCTCTCCTGATTAAAAGGGTCTGGCTCATTTCCAAACACGCCGTGCTGTGGTCTCTGCTTGCCAGCGTGGGCACGATGGGACCTTTCTGGGGATGGGGGGGGCGGGGGTCCTGCATCAGCACCCAGCATCACCCAGCCGGCTGGGCAGGCCAAACCACAGGTTTGGGCCCCCCACCCAAGGCACTTGCCTGCTTCTCCCTGCGACAAGCTGTGAGTGATGTGCCCGGCCCCTCTGTCCCAGCATCGAGGGCTGGATCCAGTGTCTGACCCACTGCCGGTGTCCAGGGGTGCAGGGAACCCCATGGGTCACCTGCCAGTGAGGGAGCACATCCCAGCACCCGTGAGGGGTACATCCTGAGCCCCCCCAGATGACAGCCGGGGAGGAGGGTGCTGGTGGAGGTGTCTGTGCATCAAAAACGGCAGGAGACCATGGGGTGCAGCAGGGATGGCACCTGTCCCCCATCGCTCTTCTGCCTGATGCTGGGGTGATGCACCCCGGGCTGATTCAGCAGGGACCCCCGAGACACCCTACCCCTTGTGAGCCTCCCTCAGAAACACAAAATCTGCCTGGTCCACTGCCAAGGGCTTAATGAGGAGCAGAGGGAAGCTGGGACCCCTCCAGCCAGGAAGGAGCTTCACCTGGGGGAGTGCAAATGAGTTTGGGTGTTAATTGGGAGCAGCTGGAATGGAGCCACTCCCCCCACTCTGGGAAAGGAAATAAAAGTGCAGGGCTGGGGTAGGGGCTTGGTGTTTTCTTCTTCTTGGGTGCTGCCAGGTAAGGGGTGCTGGTGGGTTGGAAAGTTTTGCTGTCCCTGGTGGGGGACGATTTCTTAGGCTAAGGTGGAGGTTTTGGACAGGGAATGAGGTAATGTCTGAGTCCAAGGCTGGTTACAGCCCTGCTCTGCACCAGGAGCCTCCCTGGCTCCTCCTGGGAGGTGTTGAGGCTTGGCACAAACTTTTCTGAGCTGGAGAAGCTGCTCAGTGCCGCTGGAGATCAGGGAGGTGTTTTGACAAAGGGCCTCCTGGCTCTGGTGTGGGGGATGCTCTGGGGACGGGCTGTCACTGGGGTGGGCTGGTGGGGGGAGCCCGGAGGGACCCAGCTTGAAGCTCCTGCTCTACCTCTCTACAGCTGGACCCTCCCCATGGCCTCTCCCAAACAGAGCCAGGGTGCAGGACCACCGGACCCCACCGGCACTGCTGCCCAACAGCCAAAAACGATGCTCCACGGGGAGAGGGAAGGGGCTGTGGCCACGGACCTGGGTCCTACTGCCTGTGCGGCTGGTGGGCTACGATGCAAAGCTGCCCTGGTGCTGGCCGTCTGCCTGTCTGCCACTGTTCTCCCGTACAGCCTGGGGGCTCTGGCTGCTCTGCCCCAGCCCCCCCTGGGCTCCCTGCCTCCTTCCTGGGCTTGGCCGGGCCCACCAGCCTCCCAGCGAGGGACCGGTGACCATCTGGTGTCAACCCACGGAGACCTGCGCAAGGAACCAGGGCTGCAGCAGCGTGGGAGGGTGCTGATGGGCTCTGGGGGCACCCCAGGCTGCTCCCCGGGGGTCGAAAGAGAGGTGACCTGCGGTACAGATGCTGAGGGATGGAGCCTGGGGACACCGACCGCAACCACTGCCTCTCCCTTGACAGCTCAGACCTCACCCCAGCAGCAGCCTGGGTCTGGGCGCAGGGAAGGGCTCGGGCTGGGCACAGCAGTGGCTGTGACGCTGTCCCCTACGTGGTGGCTTGGGGCAGGGGTGCCCGCTACCTCGGCTCAGCTCCTCCAGACCACAGGTGACCCCCGTCCTGGCTCCCGGCATCGCTTTGCTCCGAGAAGCCTCTGCAGCACAGGACCAGGCTCGGGTGATGCGACGCAGGTGGCTGCAGTGACCTCTGCCCGTGGCCTCGGGCAGCCGGCGGGCACGGCAGAGCCCCAGCACCCCGGGGGGAGGTCTGAGGGCACCCCCCGTGCTCAGGGTGCACCCCGCCTGCCCGGGGCTGCGTCGCTGGAGGTGGTGCCCACCCAGCTGGCCTCACCTGAAGGGGCTGCTGGGGGGGCTGGTGTCCTGTCTGATGCTCCGGAACGTGCAGGGTCAGCACGGACACCGACGGCTGCGCCCACCCGGAGCCACGGCACGGCAGGCCAGCCCGGAGGTGAGCAGACGCTGGCCCTTGGGGCATCCCCTGCCCATCGGACCCTGCCTTGCAAAGCTGATCTCAGCCTGGCCGTGAGCTCTAAGCCTCCTGCCATGGTCGCAGCCAGTGGTTTGTCTTCTCGGGCCAGAGCTGTGACAGCCGTGCAGGCTCCCAGCAGCGTGCCTGCGTTCGATCGGTCTACGGCCAGTGGCTTCTCTGATGTCCAGCATGGAGCTTCAGTTGCCGGAGCCACAACAAAGAGCTGCAGCAGGCAGAAAGAAGAGGTGAGACCGAGCCCTGACCTTGGTATGGGTGAGGACCACACCGCTGCTCCTCACCTGGTGCCCCTTCCAGGGGTGTCCTCAGCTCTGCCAACAGAAAGGACATCTAGCTCGACCAAAATGCATCCCGGCACCGTGTGGGCAGGTTCTGCTGTCACACCCGAGATGCTCTGGGAGGCAGGGTCTGCTGGCAGCTTCCTGCACGGCGAAGCTGCTCTGCCGGTGGACACCATCTCGGCCAAGGTTGCAGGAAAGGGGTCTGAACTGGCCACTGTCTTGGCACCACGTCCCAGTACTTCATTGGCTCGCGATGTCAACCACCTACAAGTGCTGGCTCCCTTCCTTCCTACAGCGGAGTCCGGGGCACCTGCTGTCACATCAGGAAAACTTAGTGATTTGTCTTCCCCCCCTGCCCAGCAGACTCTGCTGACGTCCACCGAAGGCCACCCTTCCCCTGCTCAGACCAGGGCCCCCAGTGCTGCCGGTCCCACGGTGACTGGGGCGAGCTCGGCAGCCCCTGATGCCATTCCAGAGCCTGGAGCAACCCCAGCCCCCTGTGAGGATGGAGCTGCTACGGGGGCTTCCCCCTCTCCAAGAGCCACAGGTGTGATGCGTGGCTCGCCCCGGGGGTCACCTACTCAGGGGCCATCTCTGCATCCAGATCTCTTCCTCACAACAGCATCTGGGGCTGGACCAGCTGCAGGACAACACCAGGCCACGAAGGTGGCAGAGATGAGTGTGCTGTGCGTGGCAGAAGCTGAGCACAGCGAGCCCAGGACAGCATCGGTAGGACCCGCTGCTGCTCCAGCAGGACCTCCAGAGCCCACCCATGCCAGCCCAGGCTCTGTACCTCCTCCCAGCTCTGAGAACCCCGCTCCGGAGCACTGCTCCAAGGCTGTGCACCACACCAGCACCGCCAGCTCGCCATCTCCAACCTACCTGCTGACTTCCACGGGAGCTGTGCATGCAGCCAGCCCCCCACCCAGCTCTCGGACCCTGGCTGCACCGGCAGGATTGACCCTTGATGCTCAGTCTGTGTCCAGTCACTCCGTCGCCCCCCAGCACCCTTCCACAGCCAGAGAGCATCTCCCTGGAGCTGCGGGAGAGGCCTTCACCCCAGCTGAGCTGACGACGATAGGCAAACCTGGCTCCCCAGGGGTGAAGCCCCCTGCATCCCACCCCCCTGGGCTCCCCTCTCCTGCCCAGCCTCTGCCCGTGCATGTGTTGGCCTTGCGGTTCCGGCTGTTGGGCATCACTTACACCGAGGCTCTGAGCATCAGGGCTTCGGAGAGCTACAGGGAGCTGGAGGAAGAAGTGAGGCTGATGGTGAGTGCGGGAGGGGGTCGGTGGTGCTTTGGGGTGCAGCTGAGAAGCTACTGCAGCAAGTCCTGCTGGGGTGAGGGGCCTGCAGGCTGCGTCAGCCCTGGCTTGGTCTATCACCCGCCTAGGCATGGTGGAGACAAAGTAAATCCCCAGCACAGCTCCACCAGAGCTGGAGTGGGATGCTTGGTTTGAGGTGGGACTGGACACCCCTCCCCTCTGGCAGCTAACGGGGCTGTTGCACGCTGGTGGTGCTGGGGTATTCCCTCCCGGGTGCTGTTTCTAGGCTGAAGGCAGCCCTGGATAAGCCAGCTCAGCCATGTCCACCCTGGCATGTCCCACCCTGGGCAAATTGAACTGACTTCCCTCAGTATTTCTTGCACATCTGGTACGTGCTCCCTTCACATGAGGGAGCTTGTAAAAGCTTCTCAGTTGACAGGTGCTTCTTTCTTCCAGCTAAACCAAATGCTGTCCACCTATGAGACCTTCCTGCAGGCAAATGTCCTCGAGTTCATGTGAGTATGCAGCTCTGCCCTGGGGCAACGGACAGAGGGGTGAGTTTGGCTTGGAGGGGAGGATTTGCCCAGGAAAATGCTCCAGAGATGCCTTGTAAGGGGCTGTGCTCCCTCCCCAGGGCCACTGTCCCGGGGGATCCGTGGTTGAAAGCTCTGGATAAAGCCACCCGAGACTGCTCTTTGGGTGGGGTGTTAATGTGAGGATGACGGGGCTCTAAAGCTGCTCCCAAAGGGGAGGTGGGCTGCCCATCATCTCTCCCTCCCAGGAACGGCTCCGTGGTTGTGCGAGGGGAGGCTCTGTTCCGGGGGGATGCTCCTGCTCCCACCAACTCCCACCTCATCCGGACGGTTGTCACTGAGGCAAGCAGGGGAAGGAGCATCTTTGGTTGGCAACTGGAGCCACGGTCTGTCCAGTCTGGTGGTAAGCTGTAGAGATCTTCCCATAGAGCTGTGGCTGTCAAGTGTCCTCCCTATACATCTATCAAAGCCAAAACCCGCCCAGTTTAGACTTCAGGCTTCACCTTCACTTCACATCCCTTCTCCTGACTCACGTGAAACCCTTTAGTGTTAAGGATGATGGAGACCACATGTGCAGCAGTTGGACCTGCGTGGTCCTAGTGCTTCTATTAAACTCTCTGGCTTTCCCCTCCTTGATCTGCTTCTCCTGTCCTGGGAGGTGGTACATCCCGAGCCCTTCCCACCACAAAAGGTGTTCATTTTCACTCAGCTGCCCTGCCGGCTTCTGCTTTCAGTGTGTGGCAGAGCATGAGCTCACTGACATCTCCCAAGGAAGGTGTAG